TACAACCTGCTTTGGACCACTTGTTCCAAGTGAGATGCTTTATGCCCGTCTTCATCGTTTGCGATTGTGGCGAGCCCACGTAGAGCCTAGATACATCTCACTCGCGAATGAAGGATAAAAGGAGAAAGGTTCCGCTGTCAGTCAGTCCTCTTTTGGGATACGGCACGCCACTCTACTTCCATTCGAGATCATAGTGGCTTATGGAATGCGATGTGATCCCTGCAATAATTTGCGGCGGTCAAGCGAGTCAGCGCTGTTATGCAGAGGGATCTGGTAGCAATTCATCATCCCTGAAGGGTAGAAGGCTTCGTTGGTCTGGGTGGGAGCCCCAAATATCCGGTTGAATCCATAGGGTTCTCCTACGAGTGGCCATGGTCAGTGCCGTTTATGGCGACCTTATAGCGTTGGTGCTGGTGTTAGTGCACAGTGCTTGTGATAAGTGAAAGTATCGTGGAATATTTTGGTTAGTAAAGGCTATTTAACTTGTTCCAGGGGGTAGGGGAAGGACAAAGAAGTACGGCAGCTCCTGTTCCGTCACCCATTTGAATAGATAAATGAGAAGAGTCACGCTGCTTTTTAGAGACCCTCAATTGTTATGAGATTATTCGGAGCCTGATCGAGTGCTAGAGCGACACTAAAAACACTCATTACCTCATCCTCTCTGCCAATACTGTAGTAATATTGAATGCGATGTGTAGTATGATGCGTAGTGTAGTGATAAGGTTAAGAGGGAGGGCTTTTTTACAGCCACGAGAGAGAGAGAGGGAAAAAATGATTTCGAAAGGACAGATAAAACAAGTTATCATGATTAAAGTAAAAAGTAGTGTAGCACTATGCAGCGTCATGGCTCAGCCAACAAAACAGTCCGTGCTCCTAGCCGCTTCCTTCCCCATATTAAGCAGGTATGACCGCGGGTTCTGGCGCAAAGCCAAACGCATTGGTAAAACGGGGCCGGCCAAGGTGTGGCTAGGCAAGGTTTTTGTTGCACACACGAGATCCCCGGACCAAGCTTTCTTCAGGGCGTTCACCAAATATGACCTATAGTTTGACCCCTCCCCACCCATCCTGAGCTGTTCGATCCCCTTCTTCATAAGCCTAACTTCACATATCAGCTCTCCAACTTCCAGATCACGACCACTCGGTCTTGTTCATTAGTGGAAGGTCTCTGATCCGTTTGAAGGGTCGATAGTTTTCGATTAAGGTGACTGCATCTCGAACTGTCGTAACATTTCAAGAGGTTTTTTCCATATGGTAGTGGAGAAGGCAGCTCTACATGTCTAATGGTCTATTGTATTCATAAACAGGGTTTTCAGGAAATGGAAGTCTTCCAGAACCAGGCTTGGTGTAGAGCAGCATGTTTTTCGTCGTTCTGGGCGCATTACCATGCAGTTGAGAAGTGGAGAGCAGATCATGCACGAATGGCTTCTGTTTCCTGTCGCATTGCAAATGAAAAGAAGGAAAAGAAGAAGCATCCACGCAAAAATACAGGTTCAGTGTTTTGAAGCTTTTCTTGAAATACTTGCAGCTGCTACCCTCAGTATCCCGAAGATAGAGAGAGTATTACTGCTTACTTCACTGAAATATGGGGAACGCTGCCGTTGGGAAAGTATTGTTGCATTAGGGTAACTTTGATTATGTTTCTCCCCATCGTAAAGCAGGATGATAGTTGTCTGAAGCTGAAGTATTCCGCGGAAAATGCATCTGACGCCATGTTCAAATGAAGTACACAGTACGCGCTCTCCGTGGCCGGGATATGGATTACACCGTGCCACGTTATTTTAACTTTATGTTTGTTTGTGTTAGTGCAATCTCCATAGTTTTCTCCCTTCACAAAGCTAGCTACCTTCCTTCCAACTTGATTTTTCCTAGAATTCTGCTATCGTGCGGGGGTAGAGGAGTAAAAGAAGAACAGAGCAGTACAGAAAAAATTCCCTCACGCAGAATACAACCCCTCCCACACCCGTGTCTCTCCGGCGGCGCAGTCGGAACCTGAAACTACACAGCTGTCAGATCAGCACCCGTACACTGGGCTCTGTCTCACGTTCTCTAATAGAACATAAGAGGGTTCTGCAAATAGTAATGTTTATGCCTTCTGTATATAATTGTATGTTTGATCAAGCTGTTTTTTGTTCACTGTGGATGTTGGAGCATGTCAAGGGGGGGGGGGTAAGTGGGTTTGGCCTTTTTTTCCCCATCCGCCATCCGACAAAGATATATAATATCGTTCATCTCAGTCATTTTCCACCACTTTTTGTCGCTTAACCGCTTCAACAGCTGGTGGAGGACGGCTTGGCGGCGCGCCAAACCCAGCCTCGCTGACGTGCCCTGTCATATGCAGCGAACAAGACTGTACCCTTCAATTTTCACTGCTATTCCCCTTCAGAAGCGAGCATTTCGAAAGAAAGAAAAATAGAAGAGCGTCAGACGTATGTGAAAGTTGAGTTTGCAGAAATCGTTGATCTTCAATTTATTTAGCCTCGCAATCGGCTGGTCACAATTCAAGTTCTTATCGAGTACGTTCCAAAAAGTCATCGAACAAGGAAAAGAGTAAAGAGCAGAGACATGTTTCAAGTGTGGCATACAAGGAAACAGGTACTTACTTTAGCAGAGCATCTGCATTGTTGTTCGTTACGGACGCTGGGGCCTTTCAAGTTGGTGGACTTGGTTTGGCCCGGCGCCAGCCTGTTCTCCACCAGTTGGGTCGCCTGCCGTTCCCACAACTGTTGGTGAACAGGCTGGGGTGGCGCCGAGCCCAACCCCCTGGAACGTCCCAGGACTAGAAGACTGAACAAGACTGTATCCCGTTTTGTAAACACTTCAGTGGTTTCAGTATCTATGGAGATCGATGAGATGTCTGACGAAATGGTGGCATTTTTCAAGAAAACGATCGAGCACAGGAAAACCCGTAAGACCGTGGCATTTGTATATAATTTCATTTTTTTTTTCATCTTACCTGTCTTCTGTTATTAGTCAGACCGGTCCAAAATTTCCACTTTTTTTGTTTTTATGTGAAGTTTCTTTCACATGTCTTGTTTGGGACGTCCTAACCGTAACGTCAGTAACACTAGGCGATGCCGAGCGTATCGAAAAAGAACAACGCGCTGCAAAGGAGCGTGGTGAAAGCACAGCACACTTGGATCAAACTAGACGAGGACGAGTACGTTTTAGCCCACAAAGGTGAGTTTCTTCTGGTTTTTATTTCCCCTGAGTAATGTTGATGTTGTGTTGGTTATCCAGCTTCGTATTCGAACTCAGACGTACTTATACCAGAGCGACCTCCTCTCATTTTTTGGTGCGAATCATCCTGTAGCGTGCAGACATTTGCCGCTAACTGGGTCTGCTCTTTGGCTGGTATATTCAATCGCATTGCTGCTTTTTTAATCCGAGTTTAAGGCTGGTCGCTATTCGCCGTTCTGGCCCACCAAACATCTCACTGACGGGCGCAGGTCCGACCACAGTCGGCGAGCTGCCACTCTCTCGCAGGTGACGGCATTTGGTTTGCCTGCTCCAGCAGTTCCAGTGCCCTCTCTCTCTCTCCCCCATCATCGGACCAGCGCGCCGAACTTGGATAGTAAAAGGTCTCACAGTAACATGAAGGGGGCAAGACATGGAGATGAACGCTGACACTCGACAATAAACCACGACAGAAGAAGATTTGGGAAAGACGCGTTACTATTTGTATTACGGGGATCATAATCGTCATTCGCCTAGAGAAGAGGACTTTGGCATAGGACATGAAACTGCGTGAATTCTGATCGCACCTCTTATTTTCTGATTCTGCCAAGCAATTCGCCGCCTAGAAAGATCCCGGAAATTGACGTTGACAACGCGAATACGAAGTGTTTTATTACGCTCTGATGCGGAAACCTAAAGAAATTTTCTTTCCAGTCGGTGTTTATGGCATTGAAAAACGCACCTTCGCTGTCCCAGATGAAGAAACTAGAACGAGGCAAGCCAAGCACCGAGCACACTCGCGCACACAGCACTCCTACGGATCGGAAGGCGAACAGTCTGGCCATGGAAAACCGTTATGGATATGAGATCCCTTTGAACAAGAATATGCAAGGAAACGACCGCCCTTATGGCCCAATATTCCGTTGAAACTGTGATTGTTTGTTGTCAAACTTTTAATTCATTGCCATTCCGTGATTACTGCCTTCGTACATTATTATAACTTGTCTATTCAAGATATTAGCAGTTGTAATGTGATGTCTGGTCGTTGTACAACATGAATTCAATGGAGACTATCTCTAGGTGTATTCAGTGAGGGCTGAAATCTGTTCTATTCAAGTATCTTCTCACGTTTGAGTATACATATTATAAGAGTTTTATGACCTAAATTTCCAGGATGGGGCGGAAAAGGCATCACGAACAAGAAGGCGAACCAGTTTTGCTGGCGAAAAAAGTTAGAAGACTGTTGGTACTTGTCATCTATTTTCTGGTTTTTTTTTATTTAACAGTCGTGTATATACAGCTGACGGCGAGATGTCTTGCTTTTTAAATCTTTTGGTCATAGATCCTTCCAGTGGTAGAATTGCGTTTATTGCCAACATTTATTAGTCTTGTTCACTGCGGATGCTGGGGGGTGTTGAGGGGGGCAGCTGGATTTGGCGCAACGCCTGCCTGTACCTCAACAAGTGTGGAAGCTGCTAGGCGACTTTGATTGGTGGAGAACAGACTGGCCCCCGCCGAAAACTGCCCGACAAGGCGTCCACGGACGAACGGAGACGTGTATTATCAGGAATCATTTGGTACTGCACAAGAAGCGGCGATTAAAGCGCGCTATGGCGCTGAGAATTATAGCACGCGTCTTGAGAAATGTTTTTTTAAATACGACCTTCCCCATCATCGTTGGAGGGGGAAGGGGGGGGAAGGGGTAAGTGAAGTAGACAGACATTAGAGTAAAAATGGGACATGGGAAAATTGACCATCAAAAGAATGTTCTCATCGGGCCACATATAGCCAACCCTCTCCCTCTTTCGCAGAGTGATATCTCCCACTGTTTTGCTTTGAGGGTTCCCCAACGTACGATGTTCTCTATGAGTTGTAAGGCATTTTTTGAGAGAATACTGGGAACATTTTTAGGTTATTGGGTTCACGGGAGTATCCACGCAGACGATAGGTGAATTGAAGTAGGTGTTTATTACTCATATGACAGCTCTCCTTGCGGAATCAGCAAAACTTTTTGTTCACTTACATCGATTGCTCTTTTTCTGTACTGTTGAGAAAGGCCGAAGTGTCCATCGTGACCACACTCTTCTTGATTCAGGAAATACTGAGTGACGTTTAATTCAACGAGTTGGAGCAGGTCCCCTCACTATCAGGCATGTGTCAATGAAAAAGAAACAAAAAAGAAAGACAAAAGAAGAAGACACTTACGAAAATAACGGGCACTTAATCTCGAAGCAGGTATTATTTTTTCCCTACGATCATTCTCTGCCTGCCTGTATTATTGCACTCGTCTGTGTCTTCTCGCACATTCCCAATAGATGACTCAGTTCTCTTCTATTCAGACATCTGGACATCATTCGAAGAAACCGAAGGAGTATCGACGGAAAGCAAGAGGAATGAACTTGTCAAGAACTGTAAGTTTATGCTCGTGAATTCCGTTGTACTCATTTTCGGCGCAGTTCGGTTGGTGAGGTAAAAAATCTGTGCACACAGAACGCCTGTACAGGCCTATCTGTGAAATAACCACAAAGTTTTTTGTACACGAACGCTAGGAAACACTCCGAACCACCTGTTGCAACTTCACAAGGGTTCACAGGTCTGCGTTTAAATCCACCCTGTTAACAAGAGGATACTCAGAGGAACACTCGCGAATGGCCGCCACCCAATCCGAACAGCGCGTTTCTTCGTATTCCTTTATTCTTGGTCTTAACAGTATTCTGATCTCGATTATATACTTAGCTCACTTTGCTAGAGTATTGAAGCAGTGTGGCGTAATGTTTCAGAAAGTAAATACTGAGTTTCGAAGAAGCAAAGTATCTGATTCTTTTGCGAACCCCAAGTGTGGATTGAAGGTACATATGTTCAGCGAGTTTCGGATGTACCACTACTCAGAGAGGAAAAACAGACCCTATAGCTAAAACATCAATGAATCGTACATTTCAAGAGATTAGATTGCTGAAGTCAGAGATTTTTCGTTTAGAATCAGAGCAGGTCCCGTCGTTGGGTAAACATTTCGCAAAGAATGTCCCCCTCGGAAACTGCTCCGGCACAACCTGCTTCTCTTCCCCCCCACACTATCTACTAACTTCCTAAATATCCCCACTTTTTCCCCAAGAGACTTACGTCGAGGGTGATATATAGAGCGTCCAAAGCAGGAAAAGCTGAGAAATTCAGAAACCGAAAGGTTTTTCTCAAACCAGATGCGACCCTCCATCGGTGAATACTACCCTGCTCCTCGCTGGAGATCCCCATCCATGGCTTGCCCTGCACAGGGACCCCGAACATTGTTCATTTCATGTTTCTGATTACCCTCCCACAGAGTTGCGTGTTTGATTCATAAGGCCAGTTTTATTTGAAGGCAGTACGAGAGAAGAGGCATATCACCCTTCCATATCATCTTATTGGAGGCAACGTTCTCAAGTCATGCGAATTTATTGCGAGAATGACAGGTGGGGAAATATCGACGAAAGTGAGTGGACATTACAATTACCCTTCATTCAGCACACAACTCCCATTATTCCAGAGTCGGTGGGGTGGTGACCTCCATTGGATCGGTACGTGTTGCTTCTTTGCCTAGAGTTATTGACGATCAGAACGTTTTTCATCTGGATATTCTCGTCACGCAGGTAGTGTTCCGGTGGGTCAATTGTTTTTTTTTTCAAAAATAATACCATGCAAAACGTAATAAAAAATCAAGAGGCTCAACTGATGGATAAAAGGAAGAAACGTTATGTCTTAAGCTGACGTTCTGAAGTGGCAGCCTTACCTAGCTCTTTTCTAGGCCTACTGTTGGTCATCGCTATGAAGCGAGGGTCACTCATATCTCGGAAGACTTCTTGTCTGCTCTTATTTTGGAATCGATTTCTATAACAGCTCCTGTAGATGACAAACTT